CCCCTTTTCAGTAAACAGCCTATTTTTAAGCTCTCTTTGTGTTAGCAATCCCATAGGACAAGAAATAATCAGAACTTGTAATGAAAAAAGCAACTTTGATGAATCATGATACTTGAAATTTGATTTCTCTTCTGATTGCAATAGAAAGATAAAACAACTTGCAAAAAAATACTCGGGAAAATCGTGACTGATGTTTTCGTATCAAGACAATAGGAAAAGTTGTAAATGTTGGTAGGAGACCGACATTTTTCATCTTGGCCTGCTTCGCAAATCAATTCCATATCAAATTTTTAAAACTGAAGAGATCATTTCCATATAGCATTTTGGCTTCAGTGAAACCCTACTTCTGGCTGGAGAACCTCAAAGTGAAAATTCATGGCTGAAACTCTTTAAAGATATGTCTGGTATGCATGTCTTATCTGTAAATCTCCAAGTGCTTAAAGAAGTAGCTGGTGCTGTTCTCAACTGACCCATAAGGCACAGTGAATGAAAACGATATCTTTCAAAGGGAAATGCAAATAGCAAAGGTGTGGCGCCTGGGAATCACCTACATAAGGTTGATTTCATTCCTCTTCTAAGGCAGCTGAGTTATATGTTTTATGAAAATTTATTGTTATGATCCAATACCTAGGACAACTATTTAGTTAGCCTAGGTATACTGCAGAGAAGTTTAGGGAGGAGAATGTTGACTGAATGAATCAAACTTCTACAGAACATCTGGAAGAACTAACTTGGTATTAAACCTTCTTCTAGTATAGAGCCTACGCTGAAGAAACCATGTCCTTTGGTGAAAACTAGCTGAAAATTAAGTCCACACTCAGGCACACAAAGACTTTTGTGCCTTCCTAATTTTGTATTTTCCTAATATAGTCTTGAAATGCTCACATGAACAACCCTGGATGCAGCCTTATGTTTGCGACTCAGCTGTTAAAACTCGCTCTTGTGATAATCTACTGGTTTTGCACACATAGCCTCGCTAAGGAGAGGCAGAAAGTGCCTTTTAAGAGACATTTGTCTCATCGAGGCAGGCCTGCATGGCTGCTCTTGCTAAAAGTCATTACAGAACCCCATGGAAATTCTCCTCAAAGCTCAGCCAGAGAGCGGAAGAGGTCTAAAACCTCTGCAGAGCTTTCCTCCACCATGCGAGCCAGCTAGAAGGAGGCTCGGCAGCAGGATGGGGCACTAACCATTCCCAGGTCAGCCCAAGCATCACAGATGACCCTCAGTGTCCAGCCACTGTGGGAGAGTCCCTCAGAAAGGCCTAGTGTGTGGGAAACCGCAAGACCTCGTCTGGGTTCCTTTTTTAAGAAGGCATTCTTATTTTGCAGTGAAAGTCAGGTCCTTTCAAAATGCATTTCCAGTGCTCTGGAAATAACGTAAAGGAACTGCAGCTTGGGTTATCCTATGAACACTTTCGGTGTCTAAAAGTATTTTTCTACATGTGCTTACTATGGATGAAGTGTTAGTCACATTGAGAACGCTATTGCCTTGGTGCCCAGGTGATACAGGGTACAAGGAGTGACCACAAGGCACAATTTAGCCTGGGTAGGATTTACCTGACTGAGTTGCATCACTCTATAGGCTGTAGTTAAAAAAATAACCAAGGCACAGCCCTCTCTGAAGAAAAACAGCAGATTGGCATTATCAGAAAAAAGTGTCTATAGTTGTAAATTGATTAATAAAGAAAATAATAGTCATATGGTTTATGATAGCTCATGCAGAAAATGTTTCTCAGTTGCTCAGAGTGGTTTGTTAGATGTAAGACAGCACACAAGAGAATGGTTCATAAAACAATCTTAGCAAAGCTTTTAAAAAACAGACTCTGGGGACTTCTTGTTTATAAGTGATAGGAATATAAGAGAATGAAAATGTACTTGCTGCAGAAGTCATGGACATGCACCACAGCTGTCCAGCCGATGTAGATCCAGTCATTTATATAGTTCACCTGACCAGGTCAGCTGATTAAAGATGATGAAAATGTGCTTCCAGTCATTTGTTAGCTTTTTCTTCCACTAAGAAAACCATTTGTGACTTGGCTGAAAAAGGCATATTTTTAATTCTAACTCTAATCATAGAATGGTTTGGGTTGGAAGGGACCTTTAAGATCATCTAGTTCTAATGCCCAAAGCCATAGAATTGTTTGTTTTATGAATATTCTGCTGCTTACCTGGTTACTTCAAGAAGCAACAATTCATTAGCAGTATTTTCAGATGCAGAAAATGCACTACAGCTTAACAGTTTTAATATTGATGATATATCTTAATTTTCAACAAATTATGCTGGTGTTAACTGGGATGGACAATATACAGGTGATGGAAAAGGAGAACAAGTATTTGCTTTCAGTTTGTACACTGCAAAAGACAAAGCATACTGAGAGTAAGTCATCACTTCAAATCACAGACTCCTTAACAAAAGTTTCCAACCATTTTGCCATAGGAATATCAGAATTAGATACTTAATTTTTATGCCTTTGAATATATCTCCCTCTCTGCTGTTTCAGATATCATAAATTACCCTCTTCACTGAATGTGGCTTGTAGTTCTAAGTTATTTAAGGATGACAAAGATAGGCAAGATGCAGAAACGCCCGCGGTGACTGAACACTACTCATCTTTCTTTCACAGCATGACAATGTGTTCTGTGGTATCATCTCACAACTGCTAGCATTTGTGATGATATGCATTCATCCACAAGTGAGTTATAACAAAAACTGATGACAAATCCTTCAGTCATAAATTCCTTCCTGAAACATGGTTGAAAATGCAAAAAGCAGGGAAGAGGATGTTGTTCCTCAGCAGACATTGGCTCTCAAATTCCTGACAGTGCCTAGCTTTGTAAGGGATTTCAGCAACAAAAGTGTTTTCACTTGATTTGGCTGTTTTCTCTGAGAAAAGAAAAGAAGGCTGAGCTTTCAGTAAACTGTAACTTTGTGAAGGACTGAAACTTGGCAAGAGACTGGATAGAGACAGCTGAGTGAGGGCTTGGCTACAGTTCACTGCCACATGCGTGAGTGTTTCTGAAACCATCTTTTAAAAACCATTTGATATCCAAATCCATGTTCTCTCAATCTTTTGGGGTTTATTGTTCACTTTTCCACCTCAGCTGTGGCAACAGAAGAAACATAAGTAAGTAGGCATGGACAGCTTACAGGTACCAGGGCATTGCGGTAAGGGTGAGCTTCAAACAATACTTGTTTTAATGTGAATATTTTTAAAAATCATGCATAAAAATGATACACTGCATGTTATAGACCTGGTAAATGGCATTTTAAACATTATATTTAGGTTTACGATAACTGAATTTGTGGATGGCACAAATATGGACTACAAGAGAAGATACATAATATTCTAAGGAAATGGTGGTTATTTAAGTACACTTTACAAAAAATATTTGAGATTGTCCCTTATTTCCAATCCAAAGCAGCAGCTGAGGTGTCTTCATAGCTGGCTTTTGCTTTCAGCAACCTTCAAATTCAATGGCCAAACCTGTAAAAATGTTTCCTTTTCTCACAGACACCTGTTGAACATCCCTCATGGACCTCTCAGAACCACAAGGAGATTGGTTCATGGCCATATTATGGGGTAGCTGCTGGCAGGGTGCTTCAGCTAGCCAGAAATGCAGGGCTAGAGAACAAAAGGCAGAGCAGCCACACCACTGCTAATCTACCACCAGGCTAATAAGATATGTCTGATTAGAGATAAGGCGTGGTGTCACATTAACCCCTTCAAATTGCTTTTGTGATAGAGCTACGACTTGTTCACAAAACTGCAGATCATTGCTGTGAATGTTCCAGTCTGGATTTGCACAAGATCTCTTCAGGTACTTCTCTTGCACAGTTTGTCTATTTGTTGTAAATTATTAATGTCTTTTATTTAGGCCATTATTGATTTATGAATATTAATTCAGCAAAATGCTGTTTGCAATTCAGTATGGGTATCACACATCACCATGAAAGCTGCAATACAGTAGCAAATCTCCATGAGTAAATGAGGTCAGTACTCGGATGCAGCCTCGCCTGACAAAATCCACTATGGGAGCAAAGGATAATTTGCATCCTCTGTGCTTAACCGTGTTTCACGGAAACCAACTTTGATCTTCACGGAGTGCAGCTGCTTCCAGGTGTAAACCCATCTGGACCCTACCGAAATACGAGGTTGTGGTACGTGTTTAGTTCACAGGGAGAGTGCTACGGACATGGCTGTATCGATTCTGAGCTGACAGACAGAAAACTCTGGCCCGCGCTTGGCTGGGTGATGGCTCATCTCTGCATCGCTCTCACAGCACATTGCAGGCAGGCTCTGACAGGCCCCGGGCAGCGCACATTCAGCCAGAGCCATGCACGGGGTGTGCTTGTAAGGCACAGTTAAATCAAAGCTTGTTTTTTGTTCTCTCACTAAGGCTATATACAGACCATACTATATTTTTAATGATAAAGCTTGGTGTTTTTTATCCCCCTGCAGCTATGTCTCAAAACAGGGAGGGAGGGCAGGCACATGTTCTTTGTTGTCTTAGCATTATAGCAGCTAGGGGATTTTTTTTTTTTAATTGTAAAAAATAAGGTATCATTTTATTTTTAAATAGAGCCCAAGAAAAGCAGCTTTCAGCCTCCAGGTGGCAAGTTTCAGAAGCAACCACCCTCTAATGGAAACAATTCTCTGGCTTGCCTCATGCTTTCCTCTGCCATAATGCAAATCCCTCAGGAGATGGAAAGGTGTAAATACAGCTGTGAGATGCTCCTGCTGGTGGGGACTGGCAGGTAGGAAAGCGTTAAATGATGAGGGTAAACAGCAGCCAATTTGTTACCTAGTCAGCAGGGCAGAGAGGATCCCATAGATAAACCCAGCCTGAAAGCTTTTCCCCAGCTCAACTGGTTATTGCTCAGTGGCAGCTCTTACTCATCTGAATCTAGGTGGAGCTCTTTCTTTCCCTCCCTCCCTCCCTCCCTGTCGTGGCTGCCCTGATTAAAAAGCTTTTCTCAAACTGCTGCACACGCGCTCCTAGGTACCTGCGCTCACTTTCCAGGAGCTTTGCAGAAGCACCCGTTGTTACGTGTCACTGAATCTGCGGCAGAAGAGGCCATCCTTGTCCCACTAGCCTCCACCTGCCCCGGAAGATGGTGAAGTACGGCCTCGACTACACGCGGTGCAGATGGATCCTACCCCTTCTCCTGGGCATAGGCGTCATCTTTGGTATCATTGCACTGGCGGGAAGGGGCTGGCTGGAGTCGCAGACACTGCCCTACGTGCAGCAAGCGTCGTTATGGGAGAGCTGCAGGAGGCCTGAGCAGGGTGGGGAATGGACCTGCGAGTCCCTCATGAATTACGGTAAGTGCCTGCAAGGGTGGTGGGGAGCAGTCTCTGAAGCAGTGGGTCACATCTCTGCGCTCATCTTCCCTCAGCTCTCCTAGCTGTATCGCCTAATATCTGGCATTTGTAGATGAAGTTACGGGCAGCAGGGACTGCCTCTGAAATACATCAAGGCTTTTGTCTAACAGAATGAAGAAGAAAAATGCTCTCATCCTCTCACCCCCGTGCAGAAAGAAACCTTACTTTAGATGCTGGGATGCATAGTACAAAAACCCAACACATTGTAATGTATCAATACAGAAAATATTAGACAATTTAGGGTTTTCTTCTTCTCTTTGAAGAAGCATTAACCTCTTCTCACTAATCACTGCTTTTCAAAACTTAACAACTACTGCTGATCAAATGTCCAAATAGCAAGTTGCATGGGTAAGCCTGGCATTGGTGTGATAAGACAGTCTTGAGTGCCAGCAAGAAACGGGGAGGTAAAAATATAAGACAGTAGGAAGATTTTCCCAGGGAGTGTCAGGCTGCAGAATGCTGCCCTGAAACTGTTCCAGTAGGTGGGTCGTGTGAAAAAGTCTCCTTGTGATTATGAAAGAAACTTCTAAAAGATGAAAGGGTTTCTTGTTTGTACCAAGTTTTGGCTAAGGATACTATTAAACGTGTTGACCCAGGTGCAACCTTCAGCTTGAAAAGATGTAAACCACTGAGTCTGGGAGAATAGGCCAAGAGGAAGATCACTCTAGATGTGTCCTATTTATTTTTATTTTTTTTTCCTATATATCTGCTATTGGTCATAGTCTGAAGCAAGTTATTGTGAGAGATGGGCTGTTATCCTGAGCCAGGAGGAAATTTCAAATGTTCTTAAAATTTAAACTATTTTGAATTAAAAGCAAGAATATTTTTACTAAGGCTCAGAATTTCAGCTGCCCTTGTTGAAAATGAATGTAAAAGCACTTGCAGAAGCAATCTCAGGGTTCATTTATAGCAGCTTTTCAAAATTGTTCCTAAAAGTATCGTATACAGTAAAACTCTTCCTTCTGTGCACAAAATCCAGTTGTAACGAGTTAATTGCATCAGGCCTCTGTGAGCATAGGGCTTCAGGACAAGATCAACTCTATTGAGCATCACACCCAGTCCTGCTCTCAAAGCTCCTGTGTCAGTTGTGTGACTGGACTTAGATCAAGACAGCAAATTGGCCTCTAGTACATGCCACCAGGGAGCAAGAGAGAGACCATGATGCTTAGCAAAGGCCTCCTGAGTTTCCACAAAAAGTGAGGCATCCTCCTGATCTCCAGGTTAGGCCCTGTCTGTGTCATGAAAGCCAGCTTTAATTGGGCAGAAAAGACAAAGAAGTTTTACTTTGCTTGTGATAACACAAGAGGAGCTTCACCTTACTTCCAGGTTCGACGTGGTTGTTTGGCATTTCGTTTCCTTCTTATCCTGCCTCACTCCGATACACTTTAGTCTTGGCAGCTGTATGCACAGTTTCCCACTGGACAACATCTACAGACAAACCAAGGAGGTCATCTTCTACGTGGACTATCCCACAATGTGTGAGGTTACCGTGAATCACATCCACAATAACTCCAGCACTTCTTTCACAGAAACATTTGACTTTGTACACACATGCAGAATATTCTCCAGCATGTACAGTGGAGCATCAGCCAGTCCTTCTGAAAGTGTTAGAAATGTTGTTCATGTGCTGCATAACTGCATTGTGCTCTCAATGGGAGTACATCTGTCATTTGACCTCTTTAAGCCTACTAAATACCCAGAAAACCTAACCAAATACTCAAAATCCTCCCACACAAAATTTCCAGGTGGAAAAGGAAGATACGTGTGGGACGATGAAGTCATTTAGCCAATAGGACAATATGTAAAGCCTGTTTGTAAAAATTGTGTGCATAGGCCAAGTGGCAGTGAATTATGCTGCCAGGCTTCTGCCTCTGCAAGATTTCACCATTACAATGTACGTCTTGGCCATTGCAAAGATGGGTTACCTTTGATCCATAAGAGGGCTGTAGACTTGACCATTAAGGATGCAAACTCAAGTTACCACCCTGCTCCTTTCCAAGTTCTTCCTCAGACACCTTCTCTCCAGAGGTGGGATGTGTTGAGATCCAGTCCTGTTCTCCATTTCTTCCATCATTCTGTCTTTGTTCAATTGATATCGGATTGGGATTTTTCTCCTGGAGCTCCCGCCTTTCCTCAAACAAGGGTGCAGGTACCTGATGATGGTCTTGGAGTCCACCCAGAAGACCAGGCCATGAGACATCATCTCACTTGTGAACATCCAGATCTTGTGTTGAGCCTGATTCTACCTGTCTCAGTGCTGAAACACAAGGTTTTAATGATTCTGGGCTCACATTTATCCACAGTGCTCCAGAAGAGTCATGCAAAACAAGCATTCAACATCACATTCTGTGGGATGTTAAACTTTGTCTTGTGCCAAGCTAAACACAGTACTGTATAAACATAATGTAATTACATACCTTCTCAAGCACAGAGACAAAGGACGTGATGTAAACAGAAGGCACAGAAGTGTTTTGCATCTCTCCTGAGATAAACTGTCTCTTTCTCTCCTCTGTTCCACAGTTCCCATTTTGTTTCCTCTGGGCTTTATTCTCAGCTTCCCTGTCACAGGCTGGATATGTTTGATACCTGGTGTTCCTGCGGGGATGGTTTCACTGACATATGTTATACATGTGTATCCCAGCAGCTGCCAGCAAATATTCTCAACATGACTTGGACAGTGTAGCTCTCTAAATCCACCACACACATCTTCATCCTATCATAACTAGATATAATTGTAACACTTTTGCAAATTTCTCCATATAATGTGCAAATTCAAATCAAATGCACCACCTGCAGTATTTATAATTCCTCTTGAATCTTTGCTGTTTGGCTTAATATATGTATATACAAAGACAGAGTATAAAAAACCCAACATCATTGAGGTCGGTCAGATTGGAAAGGAAGAAGGTTGAATGTTTCATTGGTTGCACCAGTGGAGTTTGGAATCCCTGAACAGTTGTGTAACCTGGCAGAATTAAAACCTCATAGGGAAGACAAGAGACCTGTGCAATTATTTTTTTTTTCTGGAAAGCCAGTAGAGTAACTCTGCTGACACAGTTATCTTCTGTGAACACATCTGCATACTCTTGCAAGTTTGTGAAATTGGTGGAAAGCGAGAATATGAAGAGTTATACACTCTTCTCCAAGAGTTCAGATAATCTGGTTTAACCATATGACACTCATTTAGACTTTATCACAAGTCTTTTGCTTTCTGAGCATATTTAGCTCCAATAAACAGAACTTTCTGGGAAAAAATATCTTGTGTTTTAAGACATTAGAAATGTTTGGAGTTTAGAATGAGGGACTGAGAAGTGCAAACTGTAGCTCTGCAGTGTTCTGGCACTTGGAACAAGTAAAGGTCTCAAGCATCTAGCATGCCTGAACCTTTACAAATACAGAGACAAAGACTTTTTTTTTTGATAGATAATGAGCACAATATGGAATGTACCTGTCTGGGACATGGCTGAGCTTGCAAAGAAAATATAGAGGTTAAATCCCTTCATGAAACTGGCAGAGCACTCCTTTGTTTTTCTTGATTTTTGGATATAACGTCTCTTGAACAAGGTGTGTCTTGCAGACCTGAGACACTTTTTCAGTGTGTAATTTATTCCACTGAAGGCTTTGGAGATGTTAAAACAATTGTGGGTTTGGTTGGGCAAAAGTATCTGATTTTATTTTATTAGTCACAGTGTGATGCCCAGTACAACGAAAAACTTGTGGCCACACTTGTCCCGTCTTATCATAGATCCATAATATCATAGATTACCGGGTTGGAAGGGACCTCAAAGATCATCTAGCCCAACTCTTTAAGGTAAAGAAGTACAGTTTAAATGAGATGGCCCAGCATCCTCTCAAGCTGAGCCTCATTTTCCAACAAGCCTTGCAGCTCTTCCACGTGCAAATACTGCCATCAAAATTTAAGCTTCAATCTTAAAGCTCTAAATTTAGGTTGAAGTGGTTGGCTCATTTATGTGGTGCAAACAGATCTTAAGGGAAAAAAAAAGGAAAAGCCATTTCCACATGAAAAGTGGAATACAGATCTTCAATTATTTTCACATCATGGTGTTCAATTACACACTTTTCCTAGAATATGTGGAGGATGTAGTGGCTATGAAGATTAGTGAAAGGATGAATGATTTTGCCATCTGGAAAGGATGCATTTCTGTATCTCATCTTTCAGTCAAATAATGGGTAAATGTTCTAGCTCATTCTAGTTTTATTTTAGTCTGTGAATATTAATGCAATACTACAAGATAAGATGACTAGGATGACTAGTATAGTATGATTGTAATGAACAAAAATTATGTCAAATATGGCAGCAGATGAGTATGAGTATTTCTAAAGGATAAGACCAAGGGAATGCTGCAAAATGTTCATATCCTCTTGAGGAAAGAAATATTCTGCTTTAGTCTCGTAAGAACTCCACCGATTAATAGATTTTCTTACTTGTTTTTTCTATACCACGCTTTTGGGTCCAGGGAATCTTTTGCTGTGATGAAACACTATTCATTATTCTGGGGGAATAACAAAACGGAAATGACTTACTGAAAATCCCCAGCTAAGGATGAAGCAGGGAGGTACATGGTGCAGTCGGGATCAGTCTTTGAGCAGCAATGGACCTCTCTTGGTATTGCACCTACTACTGGCCTTGCACTGCTGGCCCCACCGCTCTCCCCGTGGAAAACTTCTCCAGCAGACCAGTGACTCATCACACTCAGGGCACAGGACAGACCAGACACCAAGTTTCCCTGTTGCCACACTGTCTATGGAAAGCTGTTTTGCCTTCCCCCACATTCTCATCACATCTGACAGCCAGCACCTAATCCCAGGCGTGCGGAAGCCCGTGCTTGCCTCCAGCTGAAGTAAGTGCCCCGAGCAGAGTGACGTGGAGATATTTCCAGAGGGATGGGCTGGGGCACGGCCCCTCTCAGCAGGGCCTG